GAGGATGGATATCCTCCTCTTTCACAGCTGTGTCAGCCATCTCATCTAACTTCATCATCACACATGCTCTGCACAAATTTTAAAAGTTGCTCAACTATCAGCAGAGTAATTGGTTTATAAACATTAGGCCAAGTATGCTAAAAGTAAAGGTGATAATAGATGGGCAACAGGGGGGAGGAAAAAAAGGCAGTGTGAATAAATCACAAAGATGGAAGTACAGACTATTCTAGTAGCCTATCGTTCTGCGATCCAAACTCATATCCTGCCTATCTTGTCTGTATTGATAAAGCTAAAAATCCTTTGCATTTTCTAAAGCAAAGGTAAAGAATCTGACATTTAGAGAGCTAGCTTTTACGTTTCACTTTGAAATCTTGCAGTATTAGTTTGAAATAAGAACAAGCCTGACACCTTTCCAGACTGAGATGATTCAATTCACCAACAAGGATTAACAGATGGACCAGCTAGTTCTTGTTACCCTTATCTCAAGACCAGAGGCTTTCTGAAGTTCTCCAGGAGACACCATCTTGTGAATAGCCTTCTTAAGCATGAGACATGCATGAACAGAACAGTGTGTCTGTTCTCCTCATTTATAAGATTTCAGAATACTTGCCCTCCCTTCCTTCTCCCACACTCACCAGGCTATACCAATTGCTGTACAGTGAAAAATAAGACCAAAGTGCTTAACCCATTATGTCCCCAGTGCAGAAACTACCGTAAGCAGGATGCTCTGTGAAAAAGTCGTAAGCAGAAGTAGGAGTTTAGACAAGGATCCTCTTTTTATAGCTCTATGCACACTTCCAAAGTGCTTAACCCAGTGCAGAAACTACCATAAGTGGGATGCTCTGTGAAAAAGTCGTAAGCAGGAGTTTAAACAAGGATCCTCTTTTTATAGCTCTATGCACATCTGTCTAGAGCTACTTGCTAGCAGACAAATTCTGGAGCAGATGTATTCTTGTGTGGTGCACACTGCAGTACCAGCCCAAGGAGCCTCACTGAAGCAAGCACATACTTCTCCTGGTCACACACTTCAATTTCTTCATCTTGGAAATCAGAGTGTAAAGTAGAAATAATGCACAGTGGTTTCCTCCTGACCTATAGTTAGGATGTAGGCAGAGCAAGTAAGTTTCAGATTTCACAATTTAGATGTAGCTGTGGATATCTAAGGCTACCAACTTTTTGTTTTGGCAACTCAGCAGGTCACAACGTTGAAATCAAAGGTGACAAAAGAAATTTCAAAGGAACAGTTTTGTCCTGGCTTTTAGAGCCTGATTTCATTCCGATGGTGCAAGTCTGAGGGAGCTTACTCATTTTGTTTAGGAAAAGTGAGGCTAAGGAAAAATCTAACGTTTTTCTACACTGTAAAAGAATTTATAAGAGTTAATCAGTAACCACAGCTGTAGCCGTTTTGAGGATAAGGAGCAGGGAGGAAAAAAAAAGAAAGACAAAGCAAGGCATATGAAGTTTTGTCTCTATCAAAATCCTTCCCTCACATGCATCTATGTAACTCTAAAAAAGAAAGTACCTTGAAACTGCATATAGGTACAAGGGATAGAAACGTCTGGCTAGGAAAGATTTCAGCTTTTGATTATAGCTCCAGAATGAACTACCTGCTACCTGTCTTCTCCAATCACCAGGATTAATCATCATCCACCAGATCTTCTGTACAAAGTTCTCTTTACCTTGCCCATTTTTAATACATAGATAAGAAGGACAATCTGGCTTTTCCCCTTCTTTAAAAGGGTAGTACACATTTAAAGATTTATTTCATGCCATAAAGAACTGCCTAACACTTCTTTTCTTGATCATAGTCACATGAGTGACTTCTGTCATGACTGATTTTTAAGTCAAAGGTATAAGTCATCCTTAGGGAAACAGTAATTCTTGCTCACAGGAAACAAACAGAAGACAAGTCTTCTAAACTGTTTGGTGATAGTAAGCAAGTGGTAACTTCATCTTGCTTGTCTCAAAGCAGAAAGCCCTCTTTGATCACTATTTCAGAAACCAATATTTATGACCTTCTGAGCTGCAGTTCTTACTCTCCCCCTTTTTTTCCCCCCCAGGAAGTAGTTTTCCATTACTTAAACTTAACAGTTTCCACATATTGTGGGTGCCAGGACAGATTTCAAAATGTCAATGCCACTTCAAGTCAGCCACATTTGGAGCAGGCTGCGCTTAGGGGCCAAGACTGCAAGTTAATGGATCGCAGTTTAAAGAGGTGCTGGGATTTTCCAAAGGAACTTCATTTCCTCTCCCAAGTACCACCTGATTATCAACAATGAAAGTCAAACTCCTCCTGATAACACTGTGAAACTAAGCATTGTGCAACTGGCATTCATAGCATATTTAATTAATTACTCCTCTTACGTAAACCAAGTACAATCACTTTATGCACTCAATAGGTGAATTTAAAATTGGTGGGAAGAGTTGAGGAAGAACATATACTGGGTTCAAATTGTTCTAGACTACTCTGGAAGCCATCACCTTTATTCATCAGTGCAGACTAAACCCCCATGCAAAGCTGAAAGAGGCTGTTAAGTGTTCTTTTTCAAGTAACTTAATTTTGAGCCATAAGCAGTATTAACCTTACCTACAACATCATTATCTGATCTGTATGTCACAATTGCCAATTAGCAAATGCTACAATTTATATGATACACTGGCTTTGGTGACAGAGTGGGCTTAAGTAGTTCCTGCCCATCCCATCCTAAGTCAATTGTTTCCACACCCACAATCCATTTTGTCATCCTTTCAGATACACAAGTCCAGATATTTACAGGACAGCCACAGTTCAAATCACTGGAGTCAGTCAGCTTAAAATATCCACACAAACCCAAAGAGGAGGGAGAGTACTTTTAACCAAAAATAATCACTCAGTAGTCCTGTTTTAAGTAACTGGTTGTGGAGTTGTACTGTGAAGTGAACTGAGAAGTCAGCAATTTGTGGCACCAGAAGGAAGTGCACATTTCCTTCAGGAAAGGAAACTGCAGTAAGCTGGCAGTACTACCAAAGACAGTGTATCTTACAACTTGTCACCCTCATCCTCTAGACAGTGATTTTAACTTTATAGTTAGGTTGGTTTATACGTAGGTCTAACTTTTATAGGTTCATAGTGCATCCTACAATCACATTTTGCAAGATCATACACAAAGTCTCAAGTGATCCCTGAATCTGTTTACTGGGTTTGATTAAGGCAAAATTGCTTTGAAAAAAGTTAATCCCAAACAGATTCCATATCCTGTATGCTACAAGGTCCCTTTCCCATTCCCACTCTCTGCTGCATTCTCTCCAGTTTCCCTGTGCACTGGTTCTGGCATACACAGCTATATAGTGAATGGAAAACAAGATCTACCTGAAAACTATTTTGTTGTTTTACTTGGCAGCTTTTCAAAGCTGTAGCTTTGTTTCTAAAGACGAGCCTACAGTAACAGCATCAACACAGAAAAGCAACAGACCAGGCAAGTGGTCTGTGCAGTGGGCGGGGAACAGGCTGACAGGTCACACCCAGAGGGTGGTGGAAAATAGTTCCTTTTCAAACTGGCAACTTGTCACAAGTGGGATCCCCCACGGATCTATATTGGGCCCACAGCTGTTTAATATCTTCATAAATGATCTGGATAATGGGATCAAGTGTGTCCTGATGAAGTTTGCCAGTGACACCAAACTGAGTGGAGAAGTGGACACTGTGGAAGGGAGAACCAGCCTGCAGGAAGACCTGGATAGGCTGTAAGAGTGGGCTAACAAGAACCTTATGAAGCTCAACAAAGACAGATATAAGGTCTTGCATCTAGGAAAGCATAATCCAGAAGTGCAGCACAGACTGGGATCTACCTGGCCAGGGAGCAGCTAAGTGGAAAAGGACCTGGGGGTCCTGGTGGATAATAAGCCCACTATCAGTGAACAGCATGCTGCAGCTGCAAAGAGAGCCAACAGGATGCTGGGCTGCATCAAGGGCATCACCAGCAGGGATCAAGAAGTCACTATCCCACTCTACTCAGCATTCATCAGGCCACACCTGGAATACTGCGTTCAGTTTTTGTTCTCACTATACAAAAAAAGATGTCAACAGGCTGCAGAGGGTCCAGAGAAGGACCATGAGGATAATCAAAGGGCTGGGAAGCCTAATGTATGAGGAAAGGCTGACAACTGGGTTTGTTCAGCCTTGAG